TTAAAAGTAACATTTTAAGTTCGAAGCACTTTTTTATTGTCCTGAAAATTTGAAAATTCGGCCGATCGATATTTCGTTCCGTTGGCCCTCCCCCCCCCCCCAACGGAACAAAATATCGATCGGCCGACTTTTTTTGATCACCCCTTTCCCTCCAAAATACACCAATCAAAAACTGAGGGGGGAGGGGTCGACCCCCCCCCCCCCCCTGCGTACGCGCCTGGTTGTGATGACTTGTGTAAGACTTGTACCGATCTACCAACTAGTTATCAAGGGGCGGGAAATGCATTATTTTGGCCAGGGGCGGCCAAGCGACTTCCGAAGATAGAGGGGGTGGAGGGGGCACCAAGAAAAATTATCAGGGATGATTTTAATATTCGAATAATTTTGTACACAGTACAAGATATTGTTTAAGCATCATACTTTGCAGTTGAGTGTGATGGGCCTCAAAATTTATTTGCGACCGAGCGGATGGAGCGAGGAAGTGTTGTTAAAATTTGTGAGGTCGAGTTTGAAAAATGACATTACATAAACAGCAACAAACCCAATCCTGATGGGGTTATATGCAGATTTTTTTTTTTTATATCGGAAGACTGAAAAGACCTTTGATAAGTAACATAAGTATATCATCTATACATGCGAGTGAGCGGATCGAGCGAGCTTTATTTGGAGATGATGTTAGTCGCTTGAAATTAGGGGCGCGTTTAATGATGAGAGGGAAAGGGGACACTTATCAGAAAAGAAAAGTAGCTTGTTTCGAAGTACAAAGAGTAATTATCAGAGGTGAAAACGGGGCACTTCTTACACCCTCTAAAAGAGGCACTCACCAGGGACGAAAAAAGGCACATATGAAAATCGGAAATGGGCATTTGTCGACGGATAAGGGGCCCCCATCTGATTTTGATAGGGGAATTTATAAGAGGTGAAAAGGGGCATTTATAAAAAGGGGATAGGTGCCTTATTAGAAAGGAAAAAGGGAACATGTGAAAATATAAGGTGCGCGTATCTGAGTTAAGAAGGGGGTAGTTATTAACAGCGGAAGGGGCGCTTTTTACAAAGGAAAAGCATATTGCTCCGGTTGTCTCATTTTCGCTCGCTGGACGTACATAGCAGACTACAATCGGCGGATAAGACGACACTTGGTAGTGAATTTGTATGTGAGATTGCTTTCCTAAATATAAGAATACAAGAACATTTTCCATATCTTTAAACGATCATTGATTTCTGATACTTAAACAGTTATTAAAATAAACCTACCAAACTACATAATACAATCAAATACTTGTCTTAAAGTAGGGGAGTTTGATGTGGTGCCCAATTGCACCCCTCTGTAATTAATCGAATAGTCCATGGCGATCATGAATATTCATGTTTTTGCTTACCTCGGCAAAATGCTTGCCTATACTAAATGGACAAATTACGGTGGGGGGGGGGGGGGGGGGGGGGGGTTGGCTGAAATGGACATAATGAACCGATCAGAACTGATCTATGATAATTCATGCTTGTTATCCTTCGTGTGCTTGACCTATAACCTTACAATTGCGTATAAAATTGCGTCCAAAGTTCGACTTGTTTCACATGGGTTATATAGGCAATGGCGAGCTAGCGACCTATTTTTACCAGATTACGGTGGGTGACCTTTCAAAAGTCAATGGGACATGAGGGTTCCAATGAAAGAGCTAGTGTCAACGTACGTCGGGGTGGATGTGCTTTTCAATATGTGTACATACTTGTATTAACTAAGGTCATAATTAATATACACGTTTAATTTTCATATGATTGGCCATCAATGTATAACATCACATTTCTAAAAACACCATTTTTTATGCACAATAACCATATTTGCTGCGAAATATGTTTTCTGCCGATATAAGTTACTGCTCAAGTTTCAAACGTGAGAACATGTCATTTCCAAGAAATCTAGCACATTTGTAGGTACTTCCCAGATGGAGACTATAAACAGAACTAAAAAACTAAACAAGAAAACAGGCCTCGGTCCATGGTCTATGATGGTTTGTCAAATTTCTGATTTTTTATTTACAGCGCTATGTATCATTTGTTATGTGCTGCTCTGAGCATTTATGTGAAAAGATTTCCTATTGGAAGGTGAAATGAATCAAGGCCTAAACTGCCCCTCACACATTTGAAACATCGGCATTTATTCACTGTATGTATTGTTGAAATGCCGAATAAATTCAAATCTAACCCAAGTCAATTCATTTCAATTCAAGTGTTATAATAACACAACTAATTCAGCTAATCAGACCAGCATAATTGGTTTATGTATGTCCACCTAGGGCTTACATAAAATGATCGAATTTCAAATAGGAACAGCCCTAAAATGATCGAAGACAGAAAGAAAGGAAAACAAAAGTTCACAGACTTGAACAGACCTGGTATGATCAAAAAGAATGAAAGAGAGTGAAAGTGAGAAAGAAAACCTTCGAATTACAGTTCTGCTGATTGGAATTCAAATCACATTTTCATTACATGGTTTATTTACCAAAAAAGGATCAAATACGAAAATGTACGGAAAATTACGCAAATGGCCTATTATTACTAATCATTTTTTTCTTCTATAGAGACACCCTGTATAGTTTGTGTGAACTTTAATCCCTTCGTGTACTGAGTGATAGATGACTCACTTCTATTAATACTCTACTTCCCGCTCTACATCATATTACAACCGACTACCTTTTAAATAATGAATAAATCATTGTTTTCAGCTATGTACGAACAGGCTTCACAATTTTCCGACTACTTTGCTTTCCAAACAAATTATGAAAGAGATTGATTTTACATGTTGATGAGCCGACCGTTAAAAGGATCGTTTAACAATGTTAAATCTGAGATACACGGCCCTACGTTTTATCACCGTCTGTGATATGGTGTAATATTGAAGCCCTAAAAAATTGCGCTTCAAAATGATCAAGAAGTCCCTCAAAAAATTAATAAAAAAAATTCTATTTCCTATCATAAATATCTTAATAATCAGACAGGCGATCGGCTTGTGAAAGTCATGGGGTTCCTGACTGACCTAAAGGTTTATGATTATCATTGCAGCATGAGCTAAATCCAGAATTTTGTTTCAAAATCTGAGACAAAGTTACCGGATCCCTTTAACCCCGTCAAAGCTAATACCCCCCCCCCCCCCACACACGCAATAAACTTTTCACAGATATTTCCATATTGTAGAAAGATTATAACCGTGGTTCTAATGGCCACATGCAAAGGAAGTCTTTGGACTTCGAACTCTGTCTTATCATGCTTATCACCATGTACATGAAATTCATGAGAATTAGGAAATATGTTGTTTGCATACTCTTCAAACGAGAGGCTTTGAAAACCATATATGTATATACCGAGATGTTTTGAAATGGGCATATTCTGTGACAGCAGCGATATTGGCAAAGCTTGTTCTTCAGATGTAATACAGATGCAAAACTTGAAGGTTAAGCATGTCTAAATATTCGAGCCTCAAATTTATTTTTCTGTCCTTTGCATATCATTGAATACTATCACTGAATATAAGCAACTATTTTAAGAACTCCAATTTTGTTTTATCAACCAGAATAGTACCTACAAATCAATATAATTTTCTGAATGTGTCCCAAAAATACATATTACCCTCCCAGGATCAAAGTGTACACCACATGACTCACCATCACATTTCCTTCCTTCTTCCGTTCTTTATACCAATTGGTGTGTTCTGCATCAATTTATTCCTACTTGGAATTGAAAGACCATTCGATCTCATAGTATAAACTTGAAAATATCACTTAACTGTGCACGTTTCTCCCTCATTCAATAGACCTGTTTGCTAATTAATGTATTTCAATTGACGCATGTTTCTCTATGATCATCAACTCTTTGATTGACCTGCTATGCACGATATAATCTCTTTAGATAGAATCCACTGAACATGTTGTAAAATCGGGCAAGTTACTGGCAATCTTTCAGTTGTCAATATAATTTTTTTCTCAAAAAAGCATGCACGTAATCATTAAACAGGTCTGTGCAGATGTATCCTTCACACATAGTGTTTCCATCACGTACACTGGATAAGGAAGATAGTCATGATTTAGATTACACTCCAAAGTCACTTGACTCCTTTCACTTTCTTTCACAGGTAATCGTTAACATGTTAACAGGTTTAGCGTAATATTCCACATTGAAGGTTAACACAAATCTTCTCCACAAAATAAATATCTTTTGTTACATTGGCTATAAATGATGTACATTATGAGATTATACGATTTGTGAACTGTTGTAAATTTGACAAATAATAATTTAGTATTTTGACATTGCCATTACTAAAGTAATATTTGTTTCTAAAACTAATGAAGCCACTTGAAGGTTTCGGTAAATATGTCATATATCATCGTAATTGTACAGGGTGTTCCTAAAAATTTATTTCAATATTGGTTCTTTGTAAACATAGGCCTACATAATTGCAAAGCTTATTTCTCCCCCTTCATATGACATCAACAATTTCATCGAAAGAAGTCACGCATTACCAAGTTTAGAGAGCATAAAGTTGGAGCGCCGCATACACAATCATCTACAATATGTGGAAGGCTGCTACTTTGGGTTAATTTTGGTTTTGAAAATATATAAAATGATATTGAATCAATAATAGTTAATCGGTCTTGATCAAAAAATAAAATGCACGTTTACAGGGCGATTGAGTAGGGGAAGGGTGTAGGAGGTGGTCTAATAGTCGTATTGCTTTTTCTTTTCCCCTTCTCCTTTTCCCTCTATCTCGTTTCTCCAGAGTGTTTTCAATTCAATTCAAATTCAAGTTAGATGTATGTCCATTCTAACAGCAAAACATTGGCAGACATACAGACCAATATTTTCATGTAAAACAAAATCGATAAAAAGCGTGGAAATTGGAGGAGGCATGGAACATCAACATGTACTTCATGATACATGACAAAGTCAGAAATGCAATTCGACCGCACGCGCCATTACATTAATTAACTAATAATGTCAACGCTTACCCATGATATAGGTCATCAATATGATAAATCCCAACAATCTGATGAAAAGACTTGAACATATTGTTGCCATGCTACAAAATAGTACTTGACGTAATGCTGGTTGAAATTAGTTATCCGAATTTGATAAAAATCGCTTGATATGACTATTACGAGAAGCAAAGTGGATGATTCTACAAAAAATTAATACGTCTGGCAATACCAGAGTACCGACTCACGAAACAAGGCACGCAAACACACTGTAGTAAACTGGCCAGATTCGAGAAGTCTAGGGTATAGCCTTTATCAAGACGTTTCCTACTGCCTGTTTTGTTCTTTTTTTACTGCTTGTTTACACAGTTCACTATAAAGTGCATTATCATGGCATAATCCAATATTTTACAAAATTACGTCTCAAAGCAGATAGGAATTAACTGTAAATGCACCAGAAATGAGGGGTGAGAGGTGGAAGGGGAGACAAATATGCTTTTTGAGCTTTAATGTAATGATCACAGCAATATTTGGCAGGTATTTCAAGAATTGTTACAGTATACCACACGCTTCCGCTTTTTTGAGGTAATATCAATATCGTCAATCTATAAAATAGAATTATTAATAATTTGCGTGAATGTGCGTAATATAACATTACAAATCAAACTATATATAGAAAGGACTTAAAGTGTTAGATATTTTTTGGGGAATTTTAAACCTTCAAGCAAACCGAGGGGTCTTTGTCTCACATAAAAGTTGAAAGGAAACAAATACAAAATGTCATTGGATATATGTTACTTATGTAAATTTGTACTCAAACTAGCAAGCAAGCTGAGCAAACAAAAACACATACAAAAATAAAACAGAAGGAGGTAATACAGGGGTGGCAGAGCGTCTTCCAAAGTTGGGGAGATGGCAACCAACAAAAAAGGGGCACGTACACAGGGAAACCTCAAAGGGAAAAAAGCATGCAATTTTAGACATTGGCATTTACATATATATGTTTGTACCCTTATATTTTGATTAATACATTACCAGGGATCATTTACATATTTAATTGTTTCTCTCTTTTCATGGCCTAACATACTGTTCAAGCATCAGGGTTTGCAGTTGGGTGTAATGGTGTTAATATGCATGCGAGCGAGCAAACACTTTGCGATGTGTAATGTCTCATTGTGACCCAAAACAATGTTATAAAGAGAAAAACATCTAACTTTTAATGCAAAATATCACAATGAAAGACCGGAAAGACATTCAGCATCAAATTGACATAAATGCACGAACTATAAATTGCGAGCGCGCTTTGGGGGAAATTCGAGGGAAAACGTTGCTCGACAAGAAGGGCACATTTCATGGAATAAGGGGGCACGTTCCAGAAGTGAAAATTAAACTTATTTGAATAGAAAAGGGGTACATTTCAAAGTCAAAAGGAGTGCTTCTCACACATCAAAAAGGGGGAAATTATGAGAATAGAAAAGGGGCACTTATTACCCAAATATTTGGGGCAACTGTCGGAATAAAAAAGGAACCTATCATATTTCAAAAGGGGCAATCATGAAAAGGGGAAAGGGCTCTTGAAATGAAAAGGGGGCTCGTGTCAAAATGAAAAGGGCACTTACCAGTGGTGAAAAGAGGCACTTATTAGAAAGGAAAGGGACACTTAATACAAAGGAAAAGGGGCACTTTTCAAAGTAAAAGGAGCATCTCTCAGATTTGAGTAGGGTCAATTATCAGAGATGAATGGGACACTTATTACAAGCGGTTAAGGGTTCTTCCTATTCCTGAAAAGGGTTACTCAATAAAGAAAAAATGGTTTGGCACTTCGAAGGCCCATAGCTGCCATATTGCTGTATAGCTATGCAATGTCATTTTCAGCTTTTCGAGTTTATTTTATGGTACTCCATGTTTCATAAGAAGATATATGTATTGCACTCCATGCTCGTTATTCATTCTTCTTTTCGAAGATATACGTACCTCTTAAAACAAACATTTCGCTCTTTAGAAAATATTTATTCTACTTTTTTCCAGCCTAGAGGTAGCGCTTTTCAACATAATATCAGTGATTCCTGACGTCGTACGTACATGCGACCGCCATAGCTCAGCCTCAGCGTAGGGACTGTGTGGTGAGTATCTCCGCCTGTCACGCGGAAGACCGGGGTTCGATTCCCCGCCAAGGAGCCAGTGGTGAGTATCTCCGCCTGTCACGCGGAAGACCGGGGCTCGATTTCCCGCCAAGGAGCCAGGTTATGACTTTGTTATTGTGTTCCTTGACTATGATAAAGTCATTCAAGCTCGCTAAATATGGTCACATTAGTAGTTGAAACCGTGTTAAATCTGATTTAGACATGATAAAGATGATGTAAGTTTAATTGTGTGTTACCTATGACATTCTACATAAAGTTCAGAGAGATTTGTCAAGAGTCTGACATGTTATATGAGATTAACAAGCAAACATGAAAAGGAGTTAGACACTGATTTCAGACAATGCCTTTGATTTAGTAGAATGCTATTGCTGCTTTAATATTGTGAAACTTATATTCATGAACACATACTTATTATGCATTCCTGTTATGCTTTATCATGTACAGTTTTCACGGAGTGAAGGTACAGCGAATGATTAAATGCCTTGGAGACGAAACTGACACTCCCGTACAAAAACCTGAGTCATTGTAATTGTCACAGACTGTAAAGATTCGGTTACAAGGGATTACACGAGATACCCCAATAATAATCTAAAACCATCACTTTAAACATGAAATGCTAACCAATTCCTGTTCAGAGTACAAGAGACCTGCCTGCCAATGGCGGCTGCAATTAGATCTACATCTACTCTTGATTATTTACTAAAGGAAAGTGTGTACAGTGCACTCCGTACATCGGTATGACTGTGGCCAGCTACATGGACTGGATTAGGATTAGAAGTAGAACTCACTGTAAATTCTTTATGTTCAGAACTAACATTACAACAAGTTCAATTCAGGCTAAATAATATAACTTGTCTAGGACTAGGTCTAATTCTAATAGGAAGGGGATACCCGGTGGCTGATCCAGAGGGCCCGAGACAGCCCTCCTCTTTTGTATTTCAAAAGAGGAACATCTTTTTATTAAAAGAGTAAAATGAAATTTATTTTTAAAGTGAAATATAAATAAGAATGGAGAGGAAGTTATTTGAGAAGGAGAAATATATATATATATATTTTTTATTGTTTTCAATATTTTTTAATTTTTCCCCCCTAAATGCGTCCTACAGACGTTCTTACTTATTTCAAAAGTACTGCAATATGGAGTATTTGTATACACGATTATCGGCATGAGCGACAGGCATTCAGTATTTTGGCCTGAGTTATTTGTATTTCAAAATGTATCAGCGTAAAGCTTTATTGGCTAAAATTGGCTAAACATTCTGAGGTTTCCTTAATGTTTTTATTAACAATATAAAGAGACCAATATATTTTTCTTGTAAATCATTAAACTTATAATGGCAGTTAAAATCTACGAAACTCATCCATAAGCATAATAAAAAGGTTATAAACAAACATTTAAAAAAGCACCAGATTCTCGAGTAAGGAGCGCTATTAAGGTGATTTATTTTTGATTTCTGTAACCTCTCCTACAATATCTATTCCCCAATCCTCCGTGAGTATATATACGTTTATATTTATAGCTTGACAAATTATGATAATAGCTAAGTATTGTAATTGTTATCACAAAGAGCAAATTAAATGATTATGACTTCAATGTAATTTACCATTTACATGTACCAAGACTGAAGGTAAGCTTTTTCAGAGTTAATTCAGCGCTACACTGATAATAACATACGATTTTACTTTACAACCTCTTCTACAATCACTATTCCCTTATCCTCCGTGAATATATACGTTACAAATTATGATAATAGCTAAGCATTGAAATTGTTATCAATAGAGCAAATTAAATGGCTTGACTTCAATGTAATAACCCAGTTACATGGACTGAAAAGCGGTTCATAGAATAACTCGCAGTAACCGTCATTATAACCATATTATTATTATGAAAGCAATCGTAAAGATTTTTCAAATATCAAAGTAAGGCAGAACGCGCAGTGCACACAACGCAGGATTAATTTTACCGAAAATAAAAACCCATATGGGAAAACAAAGTTTTTCATTTGATGGTGTGGCATTTTGGAATAGTTTACCTAATTTTTAAAGAAATGCGTCATCAAATTCTTCGTTTACTCTTTTGTTTTGGCGCTATAATAATTTAAATCATTGAACTGGTCCATTGTATTGTTTTTGTTTCTTTTCTTTTGTTCGAAAATGTTGTAACTGAATTTATTTTGTTTCGATTTGGATTGTTTACATCAATATGAGCGAAATATCTGTTCACCTATAAGTGTCAACGGAGTTAATTTTTTTCTGTACTGATTTGAGGCTGTATATATACATGATTAGAACATGATTATAATTGTATTAAATCTATGAGTGAACAAACACACATTAAAGGTTTGAATAGCAATGCATGACCTGCGAATACAATTCTTATACATTATACATAGATAATAATACAAAAATACAAACGATAATAGGTATATAGTGTATGAAAGTACAAACGTGAAAAAATGTAACCAAATAGTAAACACAATGCATACGTACAATGTAAATAGGGACAACAACAACAAATTTATAAGTATAATGCAGTCTATTTACAAGCTTAAGAGTGAACAAAGTAGGCTGTTTCACTATCCTACCGCTACGAGTACGTGTAGGTTCAGCTCTAATTGTACTACCTGAAATGCTTGAACTATCTCCTTTCTCTGTTTTTAAGGAAATCTCAATATGTCCTCTGCCAGAAGAAGAGAAAATATTTCATTACAAAATGACAAGAGGAAGGATCACAAATACAATAACGTACAGTATCGGGGGGGGGGGGGGTTAACATTTTGTACAAATTACCTTTATCTGCTAATGCGCAGATATATTCTACGAACTGGCTTTTAGAAAGCAACACAAATTGCGAATCCCGAATTTTGGGGCAGGCAGGAACATTTCTGAATATTTTCTCATAAACTACTTAGTATTAAAACAAGCTCTTTCCTCCTCATAATTTCCGGACAAGCAAAGAAACAATCATTTTGTTGAAGTACACATCCCCCCAAACTTAACCAAAAAATACATTTTTAGGGGAGAAAGTTCGCTTTTTGGAGTAGAAATAGTAAATGTAGTAGCAGCTAAGGGGCACACATTTAGGGCACATTTTGTTGCTATACTTGGAATTTTTCTCATTGGATTTAGCCGGGGAATGTGCTCCCGTGCCCCTGGATCCGTCATCAATAAAAACACTTTACATGAATATGTATACATTCAGGAAAATCCAAAATGTTCTTTTAAGAGTGTTATTTATAAATGGGATATGCATTTAGCAGAATGGTAGGATCAAACATGACTCAAGAAGATAACATGCACGGTTTATAATTTGACAGATGATTTCATGATCTAAATATGATTTGATTACCGAATAGTTTACCAAGATACCGTTGCCCGTGTTACTATATACATAATATATACATACTATGTACATGTCTACAATATGTACATGTATTATCACGTATTGATCGAATTGATTATTTAGGTATAGACTTCCATTTGTTTCTCTTTGCAACACTGTGCAAATGAAATACGACATTGGAATTGCTAATGACATAGAAAGCGAACAGGCATGGCAATCTGACATTGTAAAATAGCGTAATAAAGAAGATATTTCCCTCCGTTTAGTAAAGATAAATATCTCGCAGAAACACACATACTACTAGTAATTAGTCCTACTACTACTACTACTACTACTACTACTACTACTACTACTAAAAAACAACAAGCTGATATTACAGTAATAAAAAAATTATGAAAATTATAATTATACTAATAATCACGATAACAATGGTGATGAAAACAAGTATGATAATATTTGTAATCAAGTATATTCTTCACGTTGATCTGTCCTACGAAATTGAAAAAGAATGTTTGGTATCATATTCTTGATCTATACTTTGAATAAAGTTTGCAATCTGCAAATATCTCTGATCATTAAAACGAAATGTGGTTGAACCTTCCATAGAACGTGCATTGTAAAATTGTCTGGATTGACCTTTTCTTTCACTTACGCCTCTTTGTTTCCTCAGCTTCTCTTTCCAACTTAAATCTGATATTCCTCTCTCCTATCGCTAAGCACGTGGAAAGAAAGTTCAAATATTCAATACTTTTCACTGCATCGTGAGCGTGGCAATCTCCAGTATAGTTTTCGAATGTCCATATGTAATTCTTGGGAATACTACCTCGATCTTTAATCTTACGCACTACATCCTCCACGCTTTCATCTGCTTCTGCAGATTCATCCAGCTTCCCTTTATGAGTGACGACAACCATCGCGTTACGACCTGTAAAAACGAGACATACAAAACAATTTGTTTAAAACAAATGCATTCAATGGGTTTCTAATTTCCTGTTTCGATTTATTTTGAATCCTTGCTGTACGAAAATCTGGTGAAGTATTGTATATATTGAAGATGAAGATGAAGATGTATATATCAAGATAATCATACAAGATTTAAGGTGTCTTAAAAAATATCATTAGCTACACCATATATGATTAATGTATACTGTGTAGAGGTGTCGTGGTTGAGTGGATACGTCGCCGGTTCGAATCCCGCCGCGGCAATAATGTCTTTTGGCAAAACAAATGGGGACCTGGTAGGAATTTATTCCTTGAAACGCGTGACAGCTGCACTGCTGAAGCCAGGGTAATTATTATGCTGCATTAGTGTAGAGCGCTTAGATACTTTTGATAAAGTAAGTGAAAGGCGCTATATAAGCAAATATAATTATATTAAAGCAAAAAAACAGTTTTTTGTCTTTGTTTCCCTAGCTTTCCTTTTCTGATATAAACCCGCGGCCGTTGCAGATAACGTGGCATTTTGGACCAGCTTGTTAACCAAAAGTTGAAAAGTCAACATTTCGCATTCGTTTGCGTATAGAATACTGTTTTCATGAACTGCTCGTAAACACTACAAATTGTTTCTTCTCGATCTTTTGCTAGTTATAACAAGTTCTGAAATTAATCGATTCCTTTTATTAAAGGTAAAGACCAGTAATGGTCATGCGATTGCATTGTGAAAGAAACGTTGTGGAATCGATCAGAAAAGGTTGATCATCTAGCATCTAGCATCTGCAAGGTTCTGGAATCATCAAAATGATAAGAAATTTGGCCCATTCTTCGTAAAGTTACAAGCACTATACACAGAAAGATGTATATGGGACTACCCTATCTCTCTCACACGACCATGAGAGAAATAAATTTACCAAATATATGAATTAGTAGGCGGTTTCCCGGCAAATTTTTTATCATCATGTATTAGTCAAAACATATTCTTTCACATGATTGGTAATGAGAGCTTTCATTTCATTTTTTGAAATTGGGGCGTTACCAATACTGGTCTTTACCTTTAAAGGAAAATCTATCCTTCATAGGAAACTACTCAAGAGGAAAACACTAAAAATTAGTAAATTCGCCTGACCAGTACAACTTTGAATGAAATTGGACCAAAAATTAGGAAGATTCGAACTCTTGAAATTTTTAATAACTGCAGGTATGGGTTCTTCAAATTTGGCTGCATCAGTTATATCTCTGTGATGAAGTGGCGGGCAACTTTTCTATTTATTCCAACACAAAACAATACGATTTAATTTTTCAAACATTTTTTCTTATAATTGAGAGAGCATATAGCTCTCATTTATTTCTTCCTATATGTACAATTAAAAAACAAACAAGTTAACAGTATGTCATGCATAATTTCATGTTTAGATCAAGATAACAGAGTAATACATACATACATGAGCTAGTAATAAAATTAAATGAAAGAAAAGGGTGTCCCGAAAAAAGCCTCATATTATATGTAACTCAGGAATATGTAACTCAGGAAGTTCTCTTCTCTTTAGAGGACCTATAATAATATGCTATCCATATTATATTTCGAGTAGTGCCCTAGGGAAGAAGACTGTAAGTAGAAAGACAGAAATAAAGTATATTTTTGTACACGAAAACAGGGGGGGGGGGGGTTTATTCGCGACTACGTTATAATCCTCTGCCAACACTGCCAACTTGAGATCTACACAGCCTTAGTGATCTCATATTTCAAACATTCATAACTTAATTATTATTGGTCTGATTTATTTAAAACTTTCGCTATTCTGTTCATTTTATTTTTCAGCTTTCATTCGATAGAACTTACTGGAACAAAATTTGGATTGACCTTGTTGACAATTGTAAAATTGGAATTCTAGAAGCCCTCAACTTTTTTTGTGCTGACAATCATTATATTACCTTATTTGTTTAAAAGTCAATATGGGTGGTTGGTTGGTTGGTTGGGTGGTGATAATGAAGATATATTTTCAATTGACTGGGAGTAGTGGGGGGGGGGGGGGGGGTAATCAACGTGCGTCTAATAGTACATACATGGCACACGGCTGACGTAATAGCATACAAATAATACACGTCAGTGAGGGCATTAGTAAGAATTACCCACACAAGGTACGTTCAGAACAGTCTCGGGGCGGTAGCAGAGTGTGTTTGGACTGTTTCGAAGGTACCGAGTGTGGGTAATTTTACTAATGCCCGAACTAAATGATGTGTATTATTTGTTTTATAAGATTATGTTTCATTTGTTTTATAACATAATCTTTTATAACATGATTTTACTAATGACCAGTCATTGGAATTGGATAATTACCGGTCATTATCCAAAATAATAATAATAATATTCATTTTTTGTAAAGCGCAATAACTATGTGGATATACGCGTTAGGCTAAATAAATGCCTGGTCACGTGTACGCTTTCAACCAATCATATAATGAGGATCCACGTCATCATAATCTTGGATAAAGTAGCCTTTAATCACGGTAGCCTGCTAGCCTTTTTCATCGCTCTATCTCTCTTAACTCTTATCCTGCCATAATAATAATAGTGGCTACTTGTATAGCGCACAGGTCCACCTTTCGGTGCTCATGGCGCTTAGAAAAGAGTACATGTAACAGGCATAAGAAAGAAAAAACAATAAACCGAAAAACAAATTCGGAATTCTCCTAGACATAGTAAATTAGAATATTGCAATAATTACAACGAAAGAAACAAATAGGTTTTTAGTTGTAATTTGAATGTTTCTGTCGATGACAGTTGACGTAATTTTAGAGGGAGCTTATTTCACAGTTTTGGACCCATGGCTGAGAAAGCCCGTTCCCCCCAAGCATGTTTTATCAGTGGGTGTATTAAGCAATAGTGTGTCTGATGAGGAGCGAAGACTTCGTGTGGGGTTGTATTTTCAAACAGAGTTGCTCACGTATGCAGGGGAAGAAAGAGAGTAAACTGAATGATGTACAAGTAACATAATTTTAAAAATAATCCTTTTTTCAACTGGCAACCAATGGAGAGAACGGAGAATTGGTGATATGGAATCAGATTTCTTAGTGAATGTTAATAGGCGGGCTGCAGAATTTTGAAGTCGTTGCAGTTTTGTGACATCTTTTTTGGAAGGTTACAGAACAATGAATTTGCAAAATCTAAACGAGAAGAAATTAAAGCATGAATTAAGATCTCAGCCGCAGGTTTAGATAAACACTTTCTTATGAAACTTAGATTACGTAATTGGTACCTTGCACTCTGTTGAACATGTGAACAGAATACATGAATACAGCCCAGTGCCACAGGGCTAATCCCCATTGTACCAAGCCACAAATCCCCCTGTGCCAAGTTTATATAATAAACCCTATAATAAGAATAATAATAATAATAGCCTAATAGTCCACTCCAAATTTTATTAAACCTAACCGGAATTTTTTTTTGCCCAATTGATCGTGAGCCCGGCAGCCACTAAGCAGCGCCAGATCGACGTTGCTCTATCCCTTATATTAGCCTAATAGTCCATAGGCTTAGGCTTATATTGTTGAACGCCACACAAGGTAGCAACAACTCCCATCTTTTAACGTCTTTTGGTATGACGCGGCCGGGGTTCGAACCCACAACCTTCCGGTTGTTAGGCGGACGCTCTACTGACTGAGCCAACACTAAACGCATGGAATACGCGTATACTAGCATGTCGAGTAATTATTAGATCTCGAATTTGTCAGTCTAGAACAACAACGTCTCTGAAGTTTATAGTTCATAATATCCGTAAATGCCTCCTGATCAAGATTTTAATTATAACTTACCAAAGTGATCATTTACTTTGTCAGAAAATTCTTTAATAAATTCCAGCGTAGCATCATGTTTAATTGGTTGGCTGTATAGATACAAAGGAGAAACAGGACCTTTAATTAGATTAGATTTATTGAATTGAATCATGTTAGTTCATATACAATTATACATAACGACACCATAGGGTTAAATCACATTTCTTTACACAATAAATCATTGATCGTATAAATAATATCTTATTATTGAAACTAGAAATAATAGCGACTATACACTTCCATCGTTAATTTAATTGCTATTAGTATAATAACCATACCTACTTCAACTTCTACTTCTATTACTGCTATTACAACCGCTGCAACTACTGATACCGCTACTATTACTGATATTACTGTTTCTACTACTACTACTACTTAAAGTATAAGCCTACAAGACATCTTCGTTCATCTCAGTCCTCCTTATTAGTTGTCCCTGAGACGCGCAGTTCTTGGGGGATAGAGCATTTTCTCATTTTGGTCCGTCCCTTTGGAATAAGCTGCCACTTAGTATTCGTAATTTAACTGCCCTTCATGACTTCAAAGTTGCTCTAAAAACCCATCTCTTTCTAAACAGTGCTATTTAATCATGTCAATGTAGCGTAATAATTTGTGTTGTTTTAGTTTACTTTATTTTAGTTAAGAAAGTTATATTTTTGTGATAGTAATACATGTACATGTATGTACAGCGCCAAGAGCGTCAGAGCCTGGCGGATACCGGCGCTACATAAATATCCATATTATTATTATTATTATTATATTACTTTACTTATATTACTCTTACTCTTACTACTACTACTACTACTACTACTACTACTACTACTACTACTTCTACGCACTACTACTACTACTACTACTACAACAACTACTACTACTACTACTACTACTAGTGTTGTTGCTGATACTACTTCTACTACTAAACTACTACTATGACTACTAACGTGCACACACAAAAACTTTTCCGAATTTCAAAGGGTTAACGTTTTTGACATTTGAAGCCGTTTTATGGTGACGGGCAACTTACATTTTGTGTAATATTAGATTTTTGATAAGGTTCCAGTTGCCAGGATTTTAACAAAAAAATTGTCAAGGTCTCTTTGCAACTAATTTAAACAAATTGATCATCAACAAATTGAAAGTCAAGTTTTAAAGAAAATACTTCCATACGTTACCTTAGATTGCACACAAATACAGGGCAGTGGATCTGTTTTCCTTCCTTAACCTTTTTCTCAGGTTTAAGTCCTCGTTCCCCTCCTGGATAGGAAAAATCAAAATGATTACTGAGAGTAAAATGTATATAATGGAGAAAGTCAAAACCGGCTAATATAACTCATTTTTAACAAAAATTCAGTTTAATTCATTCCATTCGTGATGATTTTTTGTTGGTGAAAAGTCCTATCATGGTATTATAGTTCAGTGAGCAATACAATAATAATGATAATCTGGATTTATATAGTGCTTATATTCCCCGGTCAAAGGATTCATTCACACGCAATGTGCACCATCTCCCCTTTCTTAGGAGTTTGCCTACTATATAGTTACCATAAGGGCATATGGAAATAACTAAAACAAAATCTTTTAGAATCCTATTAGGTCTGCATTTTTCTCCTGCAGTGGCAAACGTGGATTAATGCCTTGCCAAAGGACATTAGTGCTGTGTCTGAGATCGAACCCTCGACCTTTCAATTTAAACTCAAGTTATTAAACCACTCGACTACGACAGCTAATATATCAAATGAAGCCGACAAAACCTATGAAAAGATAACAAATCAAGATAAAGTGATAGTATCTATGTATGGATGTACACATGCCAAAGGCATCATTTAAGCAATACACGACAGAAAATATATACGAATCGTTACTCACGAATCTGAGGCATCAATTCTTTCTGAATGTGTTTCAACTTGAAGTCCTTCATTCCTCGATTATCAACAATGTGTATTTGATCTGTTAGCTCTACCGTCTCCCTGAACTTGGTTTCACTACCACCTGCTGTATCATCAGCTTCGATGGCGACATTCTTGTACTCATCTGGTGTGGAAAGATATGGAGTTAAAGAGGAAATCAGATAATTATCATGAATTATAACAATTTTAAAAATTAAAATTAATCAATTATCGACATGTGATACTCAACTCCACAAAAAAAATTGAAACAAGAATAACAATTCCGTTATATTTAACTCGTCTAAAAGAGGAATTGGAATTACAATATAATACACGATTTTAACCCAAAGATGTAGGAGTAAATTGCAAAATACCTGGCTAATTATTTACTCGGTTCGTGGAATCTTAAGGCTCGTTCAGATATGAAACGCAAAAACCTCTGTTTTAAACCCTCTGTGTAAATGATAAATAAACAAGAAGCGTATTACAGATACGTCACCGCAAGAAGCCATCGCGGTTTACCGCGTCATATCACAGTGTACGCAGCGTCTAACGAGGGCAGGGTGGAGAGGGTTACACCAGGCATTGGGCGAGGTATACGCGCCCCCATCTAAGGCACTGAATAATTTAAGACGCCATTTTCAAAATTATTATCAAACTCATTTCTCTGACAAAAAATATGTCCTCTCCCCCCGCTTATGCGAAATTTTCGGCGTGATTTTCAAATTTTAACCCCCCCCCCTTCGAAAAAATCTTGCGTACGCGCCTGGTCTCACTTACTCGTTAGAGCAAAGTACAATGAATTGATGAAAGATGATTTCCCTGCACCCATGGCACCAAAGAGTCCGATATGGATCGACGAGTCAGGTATGTCTACACCTGCCATCCCTGTAGTCTTTCCAGGTTTGTAACTTATCAGCTTCTCTCTAAGGACCTCTAGCTCGGAGTCTTCCTCGTCTGACAGAATAAATAAGAATACATGGAAACAGAGAAGTCGGTAGTTTGAACATTGACAACTATTTTTCTTTCAATTTCATTTATTGAGGATGAGGGATTCTAGCTTGTGCGTCAGAAATATACAATCAATTTTACACACCCATCTTTAAAGCCCATGAATAAATAGTTATATTTTTTTAAATTTTGCATCAGATTTGAAACTCCATAAAAGATTTTTATATCACAAAAGAGGTTGACACAGCAAAGGAAAACGGACCCAATATTAAGAGGTAAATATCATCAATATCACAACCATAACAAGCTATCCAAAACAAAAAAAAATACTGTTATCTATAATTGGTCACTAACAATATAAATTTTCTGCTAGACAATTGAAATTGACTTTATCTGAAGGTTTCAATTATAATAGATTCCGAGCATTTTTATTCAAAAGTAATACATGTATAATCTATCAATGTTATCTATTCACTGTATTAAACACTTAGTTAATATACCCTTGTATCTTACCTCATTAGATATAGTTATAGTTTTCAGACGTTTCCGACGCAAGTCTATACTTATAGGATTCACGCCGTCTTCTTTGTATTAAAACTGTCAATTATGCTCTGTTGAATTAGTTATGTCATTACAGATGTACACATTTAATACTTGAGTATTATGTTGATACGAAAAAGGGCATTGAAGACAAAATAAGTTTCTTTGAATTGAATTAAATTTGTTGTGATTTGTACTGCAGGGTGAATGAGAATATGTGCATAATTCTTAATTTTTAGGCCCTAACAATGGATTAGAAAAAAATGACGAATTTATATAAACGAAAGAGATTTCTGATATCCACCTCTGTCTCCCCATCTGGCTGACTATAAATTCTTAATTTTGAAAGAAGCTAAATACAGACCTAGGTCTATGAGTAGGTTCTTGATCGTAGGAATTCTACGCCAGCTAGCCCGCTTGCCTCTTTGCATTCTAGGTGTTCAATCACCCTTATAGGATGTATCATACGAATGGCTTCTAACTTTAAATAACACACAACATCAAACAATGCAATTATCATGCAATTATTCAAGGAAGTATCAAGGAACACCATATTGTGAGATGCAAAACGTCTCACACAAGATGACGGATCAATTAACAGACGGAACGTAAATACTTACTCAGTGGTTGTATTTCAACAATATCGTGAGTTCTTTCCTCCTGTTTCTTGCAACTAAATACCCAGCAAACACAATCTGAAAAAGTATTAAACAAATGATAATAAGGATTATGATGATTATTATAATAATAATATTCCTAAGAATAATAATGATAAACAAAATGATAAAAAATAATAAAAATGATAATAATTATAATAATTATAATATACAATAATATCATACAAAATAATAAGAGCAAATTAAATATTTGCCGAATCAAACAGATATGATTTACGAAATATTTTTAACACCGTAACTGATCTGCTATTACGAATCTCTTGATTCGTCATACATTTTGCATATTACTTGCAGCCCTTTCTGACCTGAAATTTGAAAAATCCCTTTATTTGACATCTCGGAGAAGTGAAGGGGGATGAATCAAATATCTTTAAGAGATGATAGACAAGTCTGCGTTGCGAAAGCGTGTTTTTTGTTTCATATATATTTCGTTTTAACACGCAAATTTACAGGAAGAGAAAAGTCCTAATTGGTAGAATGTTCAATAATTAAAAAAAAAGTATCAACCATGTCGACAGCGTCAAATCAGTGGTCAAAGTTCATGGGCTCAATTTGCTTTTGATGATTGAACATGTGTTACGTTACGATTTAGCATGGTTTCCTAGATCATCGTTACAAGTCCACTCCAAAAAAACAAACTTACTTTTAATAGAAGCAGATAAACTAATCAAAAAAAGCAAAATCGGATAACCAATAAGAAAGTTATGGATTTTTAATGATATGGAAAAACTTTAAAAATCACAAGACAAATTGGCAACTTGCTCACGAGTCTGTAACGTCCTGTCCTCACTATCCATTAATTATTTTCTTTATATTGATAATATGAATTTCCTACTTTATCCCTAAGAAAATTTTATTTTTTGACACCAGCATCCAAGATAAATTGATAGTAATATGATTTTGTGTGGATGCACTAATACAGATCAATTAAATTATGACAATTGTGAACTTTGATATTCGCTATTTATATGAAAATCAATGATTATGAATATTTGATATTTAGAAAATAGTATTACTTCTTCAACGTTCTTAAAAGATTTTGTGTAATGTCAGGCAAGCAATATGATACAAATCATATAACCTTGGTAAAGGCATGTGGAAATCTAATTTTGGGGGATAAAAAGGGAAATTAATGGGATATAAATATATGAAGCAATTGATAAATAGTGAGGCAATGACATCACAAAATGATAATTAAATTGACAATTTGTGTAGTTATTTTCGAAGTTCCATAGTTTTTCACACTTAATTTTTTTCTTTCTCATAATTTCCTTATTAGTTATCCGATATTACTCAAATCCTTTTTACTCTGTTTCTCATGTTTACCTGCATCTATTAAAAGCAGATAAGTGTTGGAGTGGAATTAGCCTTTAACGGATAATATCTTTAATAATAATGATAATTACAATAATAATGATAAAATTAAGATAAAAAAATTACAAATACCTGTTTTATAATATTTTTCTTCCATTTACTGACCAAAGCGCTAACAGTATTATTATAACTCCGGTCAATGGATTCAGTTACTATTCTGCACATTACAATGCACATTACAATGCATTTTTCCACTCCTTGGGGAGCGGTCCAACTAGTCGCCTGTTAACAGGCGCGCACATGCTAATCTAACACATCTAGCTCCTGGGCAGAGAGAAGCAATGTATACAAAAATACCTTGCTCTAACAACTGCAGTGCCGAGGCTCGAACCCTCGATCTATGTATTTTCGGCCAAGTGATAAAACTACTCGACAAGACACCTCTTTAATGAAGGCCATGATGAATATAAAGATAGTGCACAAAATACCTCTTGTCATGATCCATTTAAACCCACGTCTGGTCCCAGAGTCTGCGTTTTCTTGAGACTCAACGGATACATATTTGTCAATAGGGCACTCTATAAGAAATAAAGCAAACAAATTGGTCATTGCATTTTTTTTAAAGAGCTCTTTCTAATTCTGCACATACTAAAACTCGTGTATAGGACATAATTATTCGGGTGTCAAGGATAGTGTAATCAAGGATAGTTAGCAAAAACACTACTTTTTAAACTTCACCGTTACTGCTTTCTAAAATCTTTAACTCTAAAGACTTATTGATGCGACATGCATTATTGGTGAATGTTAAGTATAAGGCCTACACTACATACCCGATTACAAGCAAGAATTATTCTTTTTTAATTCAAATTGAATCAAAACTTTGGTGTAATTTTAAATAATTATTTAAGCGAATCGAGGATTTGTATGTAGGCATTTGGACATGTATGAAATGTAAATACATTAGTGAATAAAGCATTTGAGAGCATTTCAATCATTGAATTTGAGGAGAAAAACAAACAACTTATTCCGTCATGATAGCCGAAGAAAGCGTGAAGAAAATACCTGTTTTGTGATACTTCCACCCTCTACAAACGACGAAGATCAGAAAAGCGGAAATAACCACGATAAGAAGGAGAATAAGGAAGATGTATCCACCTGATAGAGAACCTGATAGGGATCCTGATAGGGATCCTAAAGATAAATGACAACACAACAAAACAAATTACAATCACTACGCTAGAAAAAAATTATTTAAAAATTTGGGAAACAAAAAAAATCATGCTATTTTGCGAATATGTACTAACTACTCTCAAATAGTGAAATGCGCAATTTATAATGAGACAATAAGTCCGATCTATCCAGTCATGTCTTAATCAACATTTACCTTGAACAGGTTTGATGATTTCAACAATCACAGTACGTTCTGCGGTTCCATTGACAGCCAGACCAGAAGCAATGCACCTGAAATTGAACTGATCGGATTGATTTGTCCTTCTGCTTATGGTTGCTGTCACGTCAAAGGCACCATCACTCCTCTGAGTGACAATCTGCGATGCAGTGAGGTTCTGCGACTCCTCCTGCCAGAGAATATTCACCTGTGGCTTGGCTCGTATGACCGAGCATTGCAGCTCAAAGGAATCCTTATCTTTAGTCACATTGTACTGACAAGACTCAGGAGTTGTGCCATTTGTAGCTATTTCGGGTTGAGACTTACACTGCGCAATTTGGATGTACGGCTTTTCTGCACGAGCTGAATGAAATAACAGAACATTAGAAGGAGTTACGGAATTTATTATCAAAAATAAACTTGTAAATACATAATATTCAGGTCATTTACCATAAATCGCTCCAGGTTGGGACTATCGTACGGAATAGGGAGGTACGGCTTTTCAGCCAAGGCTGAAAGAGGTGACCGTGGTTAAAGGATACGACATATTAATGTTATATAAGCCATTTTCATAAATATAATTTTTTCACGCATTCCAGTTATACCATTTTTTTTAGAGAGAGCGTAAAGAACCTGAGCATTTATATCATTGAAAACATAGTTCAAGAACGCACACGAGAATGAATTGAAAATATAAATGAATTCCCAACATAATTTAATCTATCAGCATGATTATGTTATATCACATTAAAGCAAATGTAACTAATTACACAGTTTTCTCTGTTTTAAACACCGCCATACTAGTCTTTACTATGGGTGGGATAAATTTGGATCAAATATAAATTATTCAAGTTATTCCATTAAAACGATTACACATCGTCGCCTTCATATTACCACGACCGCAACGAGTCCTCTGGAACAGCAAAGACTTTCAAGAAATAAACTTAAGGGCAATGTCAATACTGTTCTTCGAATTACCTTGGAAAATCATCTCAAGATTACAATGACATTTTCATAATTGCACATTTTAGTAGTTGACGCACAGGGCTTTTGAATTTGAGGTATATTTTAATTTTATTTTGTTTGCTAACGAATGGTATATATCTCTCACCATAAACGGCAAGGACTGTCGTGTTATGGATCTCAGTTCCACCCGTCTTAGAAACTATACAAGTAAAGTTCCCTTCGTCCAAGACCCGTAGATCCCTTATGATCAGTCCGTAGTTGTCGCTCCAACTATATCTCCTGTCTCCCAGCACCTCATTTCCACCTGACGTGTATCTCAGGACAGTTTCGACGCTCTTAGACTCAGGTTCCCCTTGGACTCTGTTCCAGAGGACTTGTTCAGGGGTGCCTCTGAAAGCACACTGAAGATTGACCGAATGCCCGACCCATCCTGTAATACTTGGTTCTGTAAAAATACTCACTTGAGCCGGATCTACACGTACAAGATTTGAAAGAATTTGGACCGATTCAGTTAGTTTGTACATTGTATGACAAATCATTTAGTAACTTCGATAGCAAAGCAAATGAAAGTCCTGTCGATATTAACATAACATTTACTTTAGTTGGAAGTTACCGCAGAGTTGTATATCTGTGTATAAAGGTAATGATATTCTACAGCATACAGTAATACAAAAATGATAAAAAAGCGAAGTTGCCCCCATAAGTCACAACGACGACAACAAAATGCATATTGAAAGCACATTAATCAATTGGTATTATGGTAAAGTCATCAAAAGCTGGTGCCTATGTGTCAGGACATGATTTTTACTAAAACAAAACACAAAATACAACAACATCTAAATCCACTGTGTGGTGAATATGATTGTTTTACCTAGCTGCATTTTCCTATTTGATAAATGGCTAGTGAATCGCCGTTATAACATTCAACAGATTAATTTGTGACATGCATGTTGTTACCCAGAGCTAGTTGTTGGAATTCGCCTTTTATAGCTGATATTTTTAGATCCTCAAAAAAGGCGCCTAATTTGAAATTGAAATATATTAAATGATAATTTTAACTCACCTAAGACCATGACATCAGTGTTATTGACGATCAGATAGCCGTTATGATTTGAAACTCTGCATATGTAATTGCCTTCATCACCAGCTTGAACATTATTAAAGACGAGAGAGTAGTCCTCAGTAATAGTAAGCGACCCATCGTCAAACTTTGGTCCGGATACTTCCCCTTTGGTGCGAGATAGAAGCGTGTCTGCAGTAGCCGGGGTACTCCCTGAAAGTAGAGGACATAAGATGAAAATATTGAATCCAATAAAATGCTTATGTTTGCGAATGATGTCGCTTTTGTCCACTTCTTGTAAGTTTGTGATTTTTTAAATTTTAAATTACGATATTAGTTACTTTTGATTTATAAGCCGTTCTAATTTCTAGTTTGTCTAATGGCCGTTTCTTCTATCATCCATATAATCTTAAAGTGACTCGGTAACATTGTTGAAGGTTGATAAAAACACTGCTCAATTTGTGTATGTAATGTTTTTTTTTATTATTTTTCCTTCTACTGTACTACTCCTTAAACATGCAAAACATCCTGAAAAAAATTCCCTAACCACAAAGATATTCATGGTTTTCTCTGAAGGGGTAACTTCGCGATACCCTTTTACAGTAAATTCCATCTACCATTTTTTAATGTTTCCAACCGTTTTTCCATGAACGAAAGACATATAACAGGCTTAAAAAAAATCTTTCAACGATTAAGTGTCTGGAATGGTATATCAAGCCAGTCCATTGTAATGTTAATGTAATTAGATTGTAATAATATAGTTGGGAGAATTAAGGAATCGATCAGATAATTTTGCCCAATTTTTATCAATAATAATGGTCTGTTTTCACTAAAATGTTTAGATTATCTTTAATTGTACATAAAGCATTGAAATCAATACCTAAGCATCTTTTTCTCCCATCTGAACAATGTTATTAAGTCCCTTTTAATAATAAAAATCATCAATTGGTTATTAGACCTTATGGATCGTCGACGAAAATGGCATTAGACTGACTGGAAATTAGACCGACCGGCATTAGGACCAAATGAGTGATATACCAAATAGGTAGCAGACTTATTGGAGATTTGACCAAATGGATAGCGACCAGATGAATATTAGCCTGAATGGTTATGAGACCAATTAATTAGATAAAATGATTATTGGACTATGCGGATAGTAGACTGGCAGGGTGTAGACCACTGGGGAATCGATTCGGTAGTAAACAAACTAGTTATTGACCACAAAAGGATAAAAATTCCTTTTGGTCAATGACTAGTTTGTCTAAAGAACAACAATAGTTTCCTCACTCGGATAAGGAGAAATTTTGATATAGTATCAAATGCATTACAAAAAAAAATCAGTGTTCTCTCATTTTTCAAAAGGATAATAACACTGCAATATTGAAATTTTAACTATTACACAGGCTCCCCTCTCTACGCCCGTGTTCCCCCTTCATATAAACTACTAAATACCTTTCATCCAGTAGACACCGTATGGAGTCCCGATAAATTTGCAGCTGATGGTAGCTTTTGGCTGGCCATAGAAGAAAGTTGCTGTTGCAGGGGTCCATACTTGGTTGTCGGGAACCTGATCGGTAGCATTTACGTTACCTGAAACGAGAATGGTCATCAAGTATATTTTTGACATTTGTCTCAAGTAGTCAACTGAATATGAGAGCTCTTGCCATGAATTTTAATCTAAAAAAAAAAAATGTTAATGAAGGCGAATGTTGCGAAGATGTGTACTGCATGTAGTTTCGATGTTTCGTTTGATAAGAAACTGTTTGGAAGCAATAGACCACTTTGGATATAGCATTTGGACAATTTACCCCAAATATGCGCAGATCTTTTAAACATGGAGAAAAGTCCCACATTGTGTATCTTAGAACAATAACTGCTAAAACGTTTGAAGTGCTTGATGAATACCTTTTTGTTTCCCCCCCTTGGAAAGACTACTTCCACATGTATATCATACGATGTTCCGTATGGACATAAGTGAATACTAAATGCATTACTTGTATACGCCTCGATGCGTTTTGAAGGTTTTGATTGTGATTTGAAGGGCTTGTATCATATTTTACTCTGAAAATTTAAGTGAAATAAAATAATCCTAAAGGTTTCCTAATGGAATGTGAATCAAATCAAGACTTTAAGTGCTCCTTACACATTTGTGACATTGGCAAATAACTGATACATGATAAATGCAGATAAGTGTCTTATTCTTGTAAAATCGAATTTTGTTGTTATTTTATATTCATACAGGGTTCTGCTAAACGTGGAATTGTACTACATGTTTGTATTATCAAAGTGCAGAATAAATTCAAATTCAACCAAATTCAAATTATTTTAATTCAAGTCTTATAGTAGCAAAATTTAATCAGCTGATCAGACGGACAAAATTTGTTTATGTATGTCCACCGATGGCTTTCATAAGAGAATACCATTAAAAAGGGAAAGGACAAAAAGAAAGGAAAGGAACTTCACAGGTGTAAACAGACCTAGAATGATCACGAAGAGAGAGAGAGAGAGGAAATGTGAGAGAGAAAACATATTCGAATTGCAGTTCTGCCGACTGGAATGCGGAAGGTGTGGATCGTCAAACCAACAATTATTTGTTTACGAAAAGATGATCAAACACCAAAAAGCAAATCAACTGTGTGAACGTATATATTCATACCACAATTTTACATCATAACTTGTTTACCAAAAAGATTATCATACAAAAAACCCGCAAAAGCGAACAACAGCTTTTGACAAACATGTATTTTTTTATACAGTGCGTCCCAGAAAAAAGGAAACCGAGAATTATCGATGTTTTATTATAACTTAATCACAATTATATTTAACAAATGACACATATTTGGAAAACTTAGATCCTCTTCTTTCATTTGATGCAACTTATGTGACTCATATCTCACGTATGAGTGATTAAAAGCAATTTGAAGAGAGGAAACAAAAAAGTCATTTGGCGGGCGGTATCTGAATTTTAAAAGGAAAATCAAATTTCTAGTAAGTTCAAATTCTGCCCATTAAAATGACACCTCAATCAGGAAAAATGAGCCAGGAATAACAAAGTTCTGTTTGTTTAAAATAAGGCTTGCATTTCCATAATTTGATCAAACGAGTTCGTTTTCACTGGCTACCTGCCGTAGCAACAAACAGAGTTGACAAAAGACTTAACTCTGTTTCGTTGACGATCAGCCATGCACACAGAAGACGAAAGACTGTACCCAAAAAACAAATATACTCAACTTTGGTAGCTCCTTACTAAAAATTCATAACCAATATGACTTTGAAATGTATTTCTTTATAAAGAGTATCTTATCTTGCTGTCAAATGATACCCTGTTCTTAATATTTCTATCACGGGTGAGTGACACCAGGGTCTCCAGGCCATATGCATGTGCTTCTTTGGTTTTAAATCCGTTAAAAAATTAATTTTTGCCTCATGATTTGGTGCTTCATTGTTTAAAATGACTCAATGTAGCATGGCTTTCACAGTATCTTGTTTCAATCCATACGATAATTTGTTTATTATAGGATTTCGCGGCCAAATTCGCGTGTTTGTCATTCGATATACCTGACTGCACTAAAACCGTCGAATTTGAACGCAAGACAAATTAATTTGAATGACAAACTCGCGAATTTGGCCGGGAAATCCTATAATTTAAACAGCCTATTAATTTATTGTCTCTAATATGTAAGTTCTCCCGATGCGCCTTTAAAATGTGTAAAGAGCATACGGTGTTTTCATCGAATACCGGTTTCGGTTACGAAACCCAAATGCAAGCAAGAACACTTATGGTGATAAGTATAATATAAATTTACAGTACACTTTCATAAAAAAGATAAAATCCCAATTAAACTTTATTCATTTTGAGAAGGGTTACCTCAAACAAGAGATGCGTATGTAGGCAAGATTGTAATAATTATAACGAAGAGAGTATTAGACATTCTGCTCGAAGTAAGCATTTCCCTTTGTTTGAGTTGATAACAACACCATTTCTTTTCACTTTGTGGCAAGGTTTTAAATTGACTTTATTTATTGTTACAAAAGAGGTGTTAAGAATAAAGTTTAATGTCACTGAGAAAAATTATAAGACATATACGTCTTATTATAGAGGCAGATCGAGTGGCTCTTTCAAATGAAAAAAAAAAATTATGTAGAGAAAAATAAAGGACATGTCAAGCAATTGTTTGTTTGATCTTTTTGTTGCTCAAATTCAAAATGATATTTAAAGCGTTTAGAAAGTCAAACAGTTTTTATACTTCAAGGAATTTCTGGCCGTTTCCTACGATATATTTCTCATGTCAACAAGAAGGAAATAAATATAAGTTGGCGAAGTTAGTAAAAAAGCATCTTCAAATATTTTCTTTTGCTTCTCGCACTTCAATTATACAGAATAAATGTATCTCAATAGTCATACATACACCACGAGTTATGTAAGTAGGACAAACATCGTGGCCTGTACTAGTTAACAACACGTAGTATATGCAATATGCATTCCGTGTATTGAAATTCAATTATTCGTAACAGGGTAATGAATAAATCCGTCTCGAGGCACTAACGTATAAATTTAGTTACATTACAAAAAATGGCCCATTATCTTCAATCAAAATTACATTGCCCTTTTTTTTTTTTACACACCCCTTATACTGTGCGTGAACCTTCGTTCCTTCATGTACTGGTAGATGAATCGTTTCTATTTACACTCTGTTTTCCGCGCTCTATGACACTACAACACACTACATTTTCAATAGTGAATAAAGTACCATTGGACTCAGTTTTGTACAAACCAGTTGCACACACTCTCCGACTACTCTTTTCCCCAAAAGACAATTATCAAAGAGATTGATTGTTCATGGTTATGAGCCGACTGTTACCCCCGTCAAAGCTAATACACCTCGCACACACAATAACGTTTCTACAGATATGTTTGTATCGTAGAAATATTATAACCATGTTGTCCATGACTGCAATCACAAGTCCCCTTGGACTTCGAACTCTGTCGTTGCATGCTTATCACCATGTACATGACATGTATATGAATGAGAATATATGTTGTTTGCATGCTCTCTTCACAGGGGAGGTTTTGCAAACAATGCATGTATACAACGATGTGTTTTGAAATAGGCATATTCAGATGTAATAAAGATGCAAACTTGAAAGTACAGCATATCCACATAATTTGTATTCGAACTACAAATATGTACTTACGTTCTTTGCATATCATTTTAATACTACCACTGAATATAAGAAACTGTTTTAGAGCATCCATTTTTTAAATCAACCAGAATAGTACCCACAAATAAATGGAACTTTATGCATATGTCCCTCTCAGGATCAAAGTGTACACCACATGACTCATCGTCACATTACCTTTCTTCTTTCTTTCTTTATACCAATTATACCAGTACTAACTACGCGCTAAAACTTCAGCGGCGACCGAGCGATGCCCTAAAAACAAGCGGTGCCCGGGCGAAAATGGCTAAAACTCGCCACCCGGCCGCCGAGCAAGCTACTTTTGGGGGTTGTTACCATAGCTTAAGGTAAGAGTATATCACATAGAGCTTCAACCATGGGGGTAGGCGGGGGAATGTGGTTGTCGCCAATTGACGCCAAAAAACAAGTTGCTTTCCCGTCTACAGCAGGAAAAGTTTTGGGTCTTCATTTCAAGATGATGTCTCATACCCGCTTTTCTTATTGGTATTAGGCGATTCCCATTTGATTAATTTGGAAAAATTTAAGATATTTAATTTACTTTACTTTCTTTTCAGTATATATCATATAATTCCCACTCTAATACATGTTTCTGAATACATCGATAATAAAAAAAAGGGCGGAATCTTAAGACAAGGAGATTGTTTTAAAATGATTTCCTTTTAACACTCATCAAAACGGATAGGACAACATAAAGAGAGATAGAAATAGGAGAGAAGAGATTTTTTGTTTGTTCGATCAAACTTTTTTTATAAACAAATTTACTCGTCACATATAGATTTGATATTTAAAGTTCTCTATACACTCTAGGCATGTGAGGTGAAGAGCTCTGCACGATTGTATATCACTTTCAATGACGGCACATATATGAGGAAGCATGGAACATAATCAACATGCACTTCATGACACATGACAAAGGCAGAATGCAATTCGACCGCGACCGCGCCCGCCATTACAATCGTGTGTTAATAATGTCGACGCTTACCTATGATCGAAGTTATCAACAGGATCAATGTCAACGATGTGATGATGGTCTTAGAACATTTCGTTGCCATAGCTACAAGATAGTACTTGACCTTATGCTTATAGAAGTTAGTTATCCGAATCTATGAAAATCGCTTTATATTATGACTGTTACGACAATTACGACAAGCAAAGTAGACGATTCTACAAAACGTAATACGTTTGACAATACCAGAGTGTATTGAAATTATTTTGGAAGCTTCTAGGGACGTTCAATTGTCCTGGTCACAGTGAGTGAACTTGAATGAATAGGGAATTTTAAATCTGCACGCCGACATAGTGGACTGCTACGTGTGACATCATTTTAAGTCAATGTGATGTCTTGTTAAGGCACTGCCGGGTGCTGCCAGTGCCTTAATAGGACGTCACATTGCCTTTAAAGGATGT